GCGAGGAATTTTTCAAGGAGATTCCTTGAGTCCTCTCTGGTTCTGCCTAGCCCTGAACCCATTATCCAACATGTTAAACTACACGCATTATGGCTACAATATCAGACATGAAAAAACAACACAGTTTACGCTGTCACATCTCATATACATGGATGACATAAAACTTTATGCATCCACACAGAAACAACTTCATCAACTCCTACAAATCACACACTCATACACTAAGAACATACAAATGGAGTTTGGCTTAGACAAATGCAAAAAACTTCACATAGAAAAAGGAATCCTGAAGAAAGAAGATTTTGCACTTGGAAATGAGGACATTATTGAATCCATGGAAGAGGGCAAGTTCTACAAGTATTTAGGATTCCAACAGGCCAAGCTAACAGAATGTAGTGCTTTCCCACTATTTTTTTTAATCTCGTACCAAGACTTATCATCTCATTTGTCGCGTTAACTAGTGTTTATATTTATTTCCGTTTGTCGCGCACCAGTTTTATTTTATTGTATTTGTAGAGGTACGTGTAAGGTTTGTGTATTGGTTGGTGATTGGCCGGTTGTTGGCCTATGATAGCTCACGTGACTTGGAGGCGCGTAATATAAATGGGATGAGCGCCATACACGAGAGACATTTTTCTTGTCTTTGTTCGGAGATTCGTCGCTCTAGACCTGAGGAGGCTTTTGAGCTCTACGAGGGAGAAGGAAGAAGCATGGTAAGAACAAAGAAAATACTACAGTGGCCAAGGGTTTCGGCCGGATGTTACGGAATAAGAAAAAGGGAATCCTTTTCCATCGACACGAGGACATAGATTGAGCATACAATCGAACTCTTATTGATTAGTGGTACAAGTGAGTAACACCTCTATACGAATATTTCCTTGTTAGGTGCAAAAGCAGAAGTCATTCAGCGATTAATCATCATATGTTCTATCAGTGTGAACAATTGTAATTAATTGCGTAAATTGTTTTTTTTTTTTGTTGTTGTTGTTAGGATTAATAGTTAAGTAATCTCAGTCCGTACGTGTTTCAACTGGATAAAGGGAGTTAACCAGTGCTGTCGAGAACTGTATGTCGATATTTTTTTTGTACTATAAAACTGTTGATTTTCAACCTCCGTGTTAATTTCTGTTGTAAAGCCCTACATCTCTTACCCCTCTCTCTCCTGTGTGCTTCGGCCACATTACAGGTCTACAAGAATATACACAAATAAAGCAAAGATTAATTAAAGAATACCAAAGTAGGTTAAATGCAAAACACACGTCATCCCAGTACTCACATACTCTTTTGGAGTTATACATTGGACTCACACAGATCTCGAGCAACTCCAAAGTAAAACAAGAACAATGCTTACTAAGCATAAACATCATCCTAAATCCGCCACAGAAAGATTAACCCTTCCACATAAAGATGGCGGACGTGGCCTGATTGACATAGTTAACCTTCACTACAAACAAATACAGACACTGCAAGAGTTTTTCTACAGGAAACAAGAAACATTACAATTACATAAAGCAGTAACTCTAGCAGACTCAAATAGCACACCATTAAACTTACACTCACAACATACAGACATGATACAACACACAAAAAGCATAGACACCATCAAGCAATCGTGGGCTCAAAAGGCACTCCATGGCAGGCATCCTTATGACCTGGCCCAGGATTTTGTTGACCAAACAGCTGGTTAGATCGGGGATGCCTCTTTGGGGAGACGGAAGGATTCATGATTGCCATACAGGATCAGGTCATAAATACTAAAAACTACAGAAAACACATACTCAAAATACAACACTCACAAATGTCATATTGTGCCAGAAACTATACAACACATCACTTCTGGGTTAATCACTCTTGGCACAGACAGATTATTTACACAGACATAATCAAGTAGCAAATATAATACACCAAGAGCTTGCAAAGAAACACAACTTGGTATACATTCACGAGCCATACTACAAGTATATTCCACAGACAGTATTGGAAAACAACACGCACAAAATGTACTACGACAGAGCCATAATCACAGATAAAACAATTTATCACAACAGACCAGACATCACACTCATTGACAAAAAACATTACAATTAGTAGAAATACATACATCACACTACAGAAGGTCACTATATTGAATACATGTCACATTGTTAGGAAATTCCTGAATACAGACACACACACTGACACATTTATGTAATTTTAGTTTTGTTTTGATTGCTATGGGTGTATTCAAAATCTCAGCGCGCTGCCAGCGCCTCTCAGCACCTCAGTTCAAAATCTCAGCCAAACTGCAAACATCTTTTTCAGTGCTCGATACGTCAGCAAACAAGATGGCAGCAACCATGAAGTTAGTAAGGGCTTTGATTAACGTCGATAATTTCAAATTCAATTTACTCATTGATGAATTCACACTGGATAAGTTAAGATCAGGTAATTACATTAATAGATTATTTTAATATACCAACATATTTATATGTGAGACATATTTTTTTTAGTTGTTGTTATATTAAAATTATAGATGGCGGAAGCCACAAAAAATAATCTAATGATATAAACTAAAATGTATTAAAGTTTTTATTAAAATTAAAAATTCTTTTCGTACGTATCACATAATTATCAGAATAAAACCATCAAACTGTTAATTTTAAGTGGGAGAACTATCCAAAAAAAGAAAGTAAATTAAGAAACTAAATTGATTACTTTTCTAGGTAAGATGTAGCCTAGTTTTTTAATAATTATTTATTTTAAACACAAATCGGATAATCTCCCCAGTTTTTTTTAGTTGTTAACGTTAATCTTAAGCTTGATTTCATTATGTATTAAACGAATTTCTTAATTCTGTAATATTTTTGACATTTTTTTTCCTTAGATGCAAAGTACATGCAAAAATATTTGAATGATTTGAAGCATGAGGAAATTAGTATACCATCAAATTTAAATATCAGTACACTGAAAATTGTTCGAATTTTTCGAGTCATAGAAGAGAATGGTGAATTTGGTAAGATATTTATGTAAGGATGCTATATTTTTTGTATTAATTTGTTTGGAAATTTATTAGAACTCGCAGGAGGAGTCCAATTCAATTTTGAAGAGGTCGAAAAAAGTGATCAGCCTGAAATAAACAAAAATGAGCAGAAAAAGAAACAAAAGGGTATAGTTATTTAATACATTCAGACTATTCAATTTCAAAATTTATTTCACAAATACAAAATTATAAGTAATATATTAAATATTGAAG